TACAATATGCATTGAATTGGACGAATAACCTATGTTAGCGAATAATAATTGTGTAGGATAGAACTATTTTCCTGCTCATCTAAACACATGCAAATGTTGCAAGACAAAACCAATCAATCACAGAGAGCGTTCACTCCCAAAAATATCATAAGAAAACATTGACGCTTTTGGGAACGGCAGCCCAGAACAATGCTTATCAGAGGACAGAAAAAAACATGTTTGAGTTATTTCACAATAAATAAACTGAAATTGTAGCCTACATAGTTTGTGCAATTACATTTATTTAAATGGAACGTTAAAAGTTCATATTGATCATGTTCTATTCTGTAATGTTATTATAAATCATACACTGTCAGAAAAAAAACGTTGCATTTTATGCGTGCAACAGCCTGTCACTGGCAGTCCCTTATGAAAATGAACCATGGTTTTACTAAAGTGACCGTAGTTCAACTATAGTATTTGATTTGTAGATTTCCATGGTTACCACTACAGTAAACATATTTTAACCACGTGTAAACAAAAGTATAACCTTGCAATTAAGGCGTTGCAATTAAGGCGTATTGAATGTTAAAATGCGTTTCAAATATAAAGTTAAGTGGATATCATTACCCATTTTACTCTTAATAATTTAATAAATTTCATAATTGAAAAATTCAGTTTAGAAGTATCGTATCGTATCGATATCGACAATACTGGCCTTTAAAAGTATCGGTATCGTATCAAAATCAAATGAAGTGGTATTGCCCATCCCTACTTAAAGGTGCATACTGCCACCTACTGCATGACACCGGCATGACAGCTGACGTAAAATAAGGATTGGCACAGGATAGCCGTTACCGATCAGCTAAAAAATGCTCAATTGGCCCAGATCCTGATCCTTGAGATCAGGTTGGGACATCCCTACCCCTTACCTTTTCCTCTTTTGTATTTTCTCTGTCATCTCTCTCTATATACAGTCGTTCTGCTACTGTCCGTCTTGTGCACTGAGCTCTCTGTCCTCCCCCATCATGAGTGTATGACTGACTATAAGTGTGTTTTGGTGCTCGGTCCGATCCACTTTTTAACAGCGTTTTTCAAACATTGCTTACTGCACCTTTAATCTCATTTTTAAAGTATTTCATTCCCTCATTGTGATTCATCTTCGGTAGCTTTGATACATTTGTTCTACAGGACATCGACCCACATCAACCAACCACTTGTTTGGATGTAGTTTCGAAGGAGTTTCATTCCCTGTGTTTGATGCATTGTACACAGAGCTGGGTGGTAATTACATAATCAGATTCCAAAAATAAAGTACTTATAATTAGAGTATATTACATTTCATAATACTCATAATCAGATTACAGTTACTTTTGTATGGATTACATGATTATATATTATTCACACAATGACGGTAAATCTTTCATAATTTATAGATTCTCTCTAATTCTTCTTTTTTCTCTCTTTTTAATTTTCCTCTCTCTACTGTGTGTCATACCATTTAGCTTTGACTATATTCACAGTATAGAATGGTCATGTAAATGACATGTAAATAACTTTGCAAACCATGCTTCGGAATCTGGGTGAAAAAAGCTCCTCTCAAGCAATTAGAACATGTATGAAACAGATAATTATGCAAGTTACTAAACACTGGTGATGCATAGCTGTGTCTTCATCATATCCAGTGACCTTCAGTAACTGAAAGACTTTGGGAGTGTAATGTTTGGCATTAAATATTTACTTGAAATATCTCTGAGGAAGTTAATATTTCAAATAATTTAACAATATTCGCATGTTTACAGTTTGATGTCGCTTAGTGGTCACACTGACATGCAGGCAAACAAATTAAATATTTATATTTTAAGTGTTCAAGTGTTTAAGTAATTTATTTTACATTTTTATGATTTAATATATTATTAGCTTTTTATCAACTCACAAACCCACTGCAGTTTTTACATTAAGCCCAGTTTGGGAAACCCTGGTTTAATGTAATGTCTAATGCATTTTTTGATGTTGAATATATGTTCTTTCTCTTTGCTTATTCATATCAATCTCTGTATCAGCTCTGATTGTTCTTACCTCACAGAACATGGGCAGCTTTTTGGCAAAATCCACAACACGAGTGATGGCGGGGGTGATAATTTTTGTAAACTGACTGAAGGCTTCGATGTCCACTTTGCTCCCCTCTGGTGCGTTGACGATGGGCGCAGAACCGATGTCCTCGGGCTGCAACGACAGGAAGGGGAGGGGCATCGAGCTCAGTAACACAGGCACTTACAGGAAGTGGACAATTACAGAGACGAAGGTGTGACACAGCAAATCCTCATTCCCCTCTAAAGCACGAAGAAGGCCAGAGATACAGCAAGACATCATCGAAACAAGAGTGGAGCCCAGTTATTAAGAGGGAAAAGAGGAAAGATGAGAAACTTAAACTAGAGGAAGATCAGAGCAGAGAAGCATCTTTGATATCTCCTTCTGTGTGGAGCTCATTGACTAGGGTTATCCACTGATATTTGGATGTTATTTTTATTTATTTCTGTAAAGATTTGTGCCCTTCTGACCAGAAAAATGTGATGTGAAAGACATAGCAAAAAAAAAAAACCAGAAAGCCAGACTGAGGGTCAAAAGAAGACTGGGAGCTGAGTACAGCACAAATCCAGCCTAATGTTCCCTGGTGACATTAGTCAATTATTCAGCTTTCCTCTTCTGTGTACACCTTCATTCTGACACAGCGAGCAGAGAGCTACACAAACACGCCAAACAAATGCCTTAAGCATTCAGCAAGTTGATTTATTTAAGAAAAAAAAAATCGTGACAGAAATGGAAGCAGCTGAGAATTTGAGAGAGCGTTTCTTTTGGATAAAAACATAAATAAATGTGTTTGCTCTGCTGGTTCTTACCTTGGCTTCCTTCACCCCCACTGCACTCTGGTCAGAAGTACAGAATAAATTACATGTTATTTCATTAAGTAGCATTGCTTCCTTGACCTGTTGGGCAATCAACAGGGATCGTGAAGTTTCAATGAAGAACCCGAGTCAAGTCAACTAAAAAGAACAAGTTTAAACTGGACAGGTGAGAGTGCAGACAGAAAGTGACAGTGATTTATTAAGTTTGCGTGGAGTTTCCATGGATTTCCAGGCTTTAAAATCATCTTGTATAATATTACGTATGGAATAACTGCACATAGACGTTTTTGATTATTTATTTATTTTTTTTTACTGTGAAATGGCCTAGTAAAATTGTATTAAAGTTTTAGAATTTTTTTTATTTTATGTTCTACTATGCAATGTATGAAAATTTGGACTGGGTGATTTTGGCTTAATTTTTTGTTGATTTTTTCAGCTTTTTGACAATCATTTCATGATATTTGCATGCTAACTGAAGTGGCTTAACAGACACTGGGCTTCATTCACGATTCAAAGCCATAAGGTTTGTTAAAACCATTCAATTCAATACAACAGCTTGTGTAAGAATGTTTTATGAACAATTCACACACATTCATTTTGCTTGTGTTTCATGAATGAGGTCCACATTTGCTATTTATTTAAAATGTTATTCAAAAAATAAAAATCTAATTAGATGATATGGACCAATATATTACAAATTAATGAGTAATATTTACATAGATATATTTTTGTCTTACATTAAAAAGACTTCTGATCTCTGAATCAGAGTTTTGAAACCGACAGAAATGAACTGAACTTACCAACTCTAATGCATTTTTCCTACTGAAGATTAAGTGAAGCTTAGAATTTCTGCACTTCTAGAGTCACTAAACACAATTTCAAAAATAATAAGTTCCCCTTCTAGGGAACTCAACGCTGCGCCCCCTAGGGGGCACATTGGGGAATGCAGCCTGCATGACCGTGTCTGAAGCACGTGTGAAACAATGCCAATCTATTGGCCCACCTGGCCCATGACGTCATAGGCGGGATGCTCGGAAGTATAAAAGGGCACCTGCTGAATACGTCATCCTCTTTGCTGTCTTCAGGAGCCATCTGTTTGAAGTGCGTGTGAGAGACCAAGGCAGGTGAGC